TTTCTAGAAGCATCCTTCTGAATATTGTGAGGAATTCACATGTCTGTGAAACCAGCTGCATGCAAATATGAGCCTACGCCAAATACTCATTATTAAAAACATCCAGAAAACATGTGGGATTCATTTAGTTTTTATAAGATTATCAGCCTGACCAAACCATGGACAAAACATCTCAATCCTGCATCTAATGATCTGGTTACATCCATCTATCAACCAAAATTTAGATGCAGACAAAAGACCTCATTAAAAATAAATTAGGATCTGCCAAGAGGAAACAAAGTCATTAGGCCTAAAGCAATCCTCTAGAAAACAAAATGAGCACTGAGAGCAGCAAAAATCCACATCACCTGCAGCAGGTCTTGTTTAATACAAATACACTTTATGTTTTACCCAATATCAGGGTGCTCACTGAAAAATAGCTTTCTAAATGTGGCAACTATCACCACAAATCTTGATGATAATAAAGGTAGTGATGGGAGAAGAAGAGCATTTACAACTTTTAGCTACAAAGAAACCAATCTAATGAGATCAAAAGTGCAGTCAGCATTAGCCATTTCTACAATAATTCAGGTAACTGCTGAGAATTTTACAGAGTTTCCCCCAGTCCAAGAAAACCAAACAAAACAGCACCAGATGCTCTTTAAAAATACAGGGATCAAAACACAACCTGAAAATACAGCTAGTTTAGGCACGCAGAGCAGGCACTGATAAAACACAAGCCATGGGCATTCAGGAAGAAAATACAACCAAACAAAAGCCCCAAAATCCCAAAGCAAAAAACAAACACCCTTTTAAAAAGCGAAAAATATTTGAAAAAAAGAAAATTCTAAGGTAGTTATTGCAAAATCAAATCTCATTTTTACATCTACTTAGAAACACTTTATTAAAAAGGCCATATAGAAGTACTTCAGGCCATCATAGAACAGACCTTTTACAAGTCCCATTTCAATTAGGATATTCAGATTAAAAACCCCACTTTACAGTAGTGGATGTGAATGCCATTGTATGTATGGACCTGTACCTATAGATCTACCTGTGGAGGTCACACGTGACCCCCTTGCTTCTAAAGCTGAAGAAACTCACCTTGTGACAAACTTCTGATTTAATTTCTTTGAGGGCACGTTCAGAGAACACACAGCCACAGTTTCTCAAGAAGCAAAACCTTCAGAGAAAAGAGGAGACACACAATGATTTTAAGAAACCCTGAGCCCAAGAAAGCTGACTGAACACAGAGATAATACTGCAATGCATTAGCAGGACACAACTAACTTTATTTACTAGTTCTTGCATCTACTATAACTATCAGCACCTTTAAGTGGGCAATTAATTTATTATTTGTTTGCACAACGTAAGACCAGAATGGAAAATATTGTGTACATTAAACCACAACACTTATTTTGTTATTCCATCCTCACAATCTCCTGGCTAATCACTGTCTGGAGGAAGAAATACTTGGCAACGACCAAGCTGTGAACCATCATCATCTCACCCACCAGGGTTAAGATGAACACACAAAGAAATTGCTGATCTGCCCAAACCAGGATGTGAGGACATGCTCTGCCCTGGCCCAGTAAATCCCAGATTATTGCAGGATTATGATGGACACACAGTCCATCTCCACTCTGGTCCAAACACAGGCAGAGGGAGAATGGAGCAGCTCTGCTGTGAGGGAAGGCTGAGAGAATTGGGATTGTTCACCCTGGCTCTGGGGTGACCTAATTGTGGCCTTCCAATGCCTGAAGGAGCTACAAGGATGCAGAGAGACAGTTCACAAGGGCCTGGAGTGACAGAACAAGTGGGAATGGCTTCAAACTGACAGAGGGCAGGGTTAGATGGGATACTGGGAAGAAACTCTTCCCTGTGAGGGTGAGGAGGCCCTGGCACAGGTTGCCCAGAGAAGCTGTGGCTGCCCAATCCCTGGAAGTGTCCAAGGCCAGGTTGGATGGGGCTTGGAGCAACCTGGGCTAGTGGAAGGTGTCCCTGCCCATGGCAGGGGGTGGAATTGAGATGATCTTTAAGGTCTCTTCCAGCCCACACCATGCTGGGATTCTAAGTGCTTGATGTGACACAAAGGGAGGTCTCATCCAATGTCCTGTGGTTTGGCCCCCAAACATTGCCCTCTACTCCTTTGTTACACATCTAAAGTCATTTAGGAAAGGGTCAGCTTTTATCTTTCCTCTTGAACATGCAATGAAAGGACACTCAGTGGTCTCTTAAACTCCCTCCTGAAAGAGAGACAAACATTCCCCACAAATGCCGGGGTAAGTGCATGATTTGCAGCATTATCCACTCAAATATCTGCTCTGTGCTCAGGTCGGCACAGTGCTCACTTCCAAACCCAAAATGCAGACCCTGAAGCACTGACCTGTGTCTCCCATTCATCTCCAGCCCCACCACAGGGCAGATAAATCGTGCAGACTGCAGGTCATCATATTTGTCACCTTTTATACTCTCCTTATCCCCACTCCAGGCTGGATTATCCACAAGGTTCAGTTCTGTCACATTCTGGAAAATAAAAATGCAGGCCTCGAGCTTTTTACCAATGATTTGGAGCCATGATAACACTCCTTAATATTTTTTCTCTTGTGTTTTGGTACTTTTAACACTTTATTACAGGGTGAGAACACAAGCAAACGGAGGTTTTACAGCATGACTGAACTTTCCCTCCTGATTTTAACATTTCTCTTTTAAGATCAGACACAACCTGTTTACCTTGATGCTCTTGATGTGGGATGCAGATTCCATGGGGGTCTTATCAGGTGACTTGTCCAGCAGAAACTCAATGATGGCATCTTTGTTGTACAACCTGTAACATCGAAATTCCAGCGACCACGTTTGATTGCCGTGGCTTTTGTATTTCTAAATTTACCTAAAAATTATTTTTTATAATATTTGTACTATTTACACTAACGATAATATTTAATTATTAATTAATTATCATTTTTCTTTCCCCCTGTGGGACCACCCCTACCTGCCCAGCTCACAGGCCACGATGGGCCGACGCAGCTTCTCCTGGCTCAGGGCACAGTAGAACCACCTGGCCACCAACTCAGCAACTTTGTCAACCTGAAGGGAACAAAAAAAAAACACTCGTTATTTTAAAACAGCTTTTATATTTGCAAATTATTTAAGCACAGAATGAATCAGGTAATACTCAAAAGCATTCGTGAGATCCTCAGGTTTCTTACCAAACCTACCTTCTGCACTGTAAATTAATTCATAAAATAACTTTAGCAAGGCTGTTTAGCAACGTTCCTGATCAGTTTGGGGGCTCTTCCTCTGCCTACTGACCCCATTTCTGCATCACAGAACCTGAGGCCTCTCTGCCTAAATCTAACTCAGTTTTTACACTTTTGTCACCTCCACCAGTCCCCTCCTCATGCTCTTTCACTCTCCACGTGTTCTCCACCACCCTCTTCTCTCTGGTGCGACATCGCAGCCCTACTTGGGTCAGCCACCACTTCCACTCCCTGGATGGAATGAGGTGAGGAAGAAACCCTTCCCTGTGAGGGTGGGGAGGCCCTGGCACAGGTGCCCAGACAAGCTGTGGCTGCCCCATCCCTTAAGGAGACCCCTGACCCCCTTGTATTCAGCAGCAAATCCCAGAATCACTGAGGTTGGAAAAGCCCTCCCAGCCCGTGGAATCCAACCTGCACCCCATCCCCACCTTGTCCCACAGCCCCCATGTACAGTCCTTCCCCAGACACCTCCAGGGATGGGGACTCCAAACCTCCCTGGGCAGCCCCTTCCAATGCCTGAACACCCCTTCCAGGAAGAAATTCCTCCTGATGTCCAACCTGACCCTTCCCTGGGAAAACCCGAGGCTGTTTCTTCTGGTCCTGTCCCTGTTCCCTGGGAGCAGAGCCCGACCCCCCCGGCTCCCCACTCCTGTCAGGGAGTTGCAGAGCCAGAAGGTCCCCCCTGAGTCTCCTTTTCTCCAGGCTGAGCCCCCCAGCTCCCTCAGCCGTCCCTGCTGCTCCAGCCCCTTCCCAGCTCCGTTCCCTTCCCAGGACACGCTCCAGCCCCTCAATGTCCTTCTTATTGTGAGGGGCCCAGACCTGGACACAGCCCTGGAGCTGCGACCCCCCCAGTGCCCAGCACGGAGGGTCAATCCCTGCCCTGCGGCCACGCTGTTGATACAGCCCAGGCACTGCTGGCCTTCCTGCCCCCCTGGGCTCCCGTTCGGTTCTCAGCAGCACCCCCAGGGCCTCCTCCAGCTCTTCCGCCGCTCCCCCGCTGTCCCGGAGAGCTGCCGGGGGTCGCTGTGACCCCAGCGCAGGGCCCGGCACTTGGCCTTGTGGAACCCCCCGGAACACAAAGCGCCTCCCCTGCAGCCACAGCCACAGCCACAGCCACAGCCACACACAGGTAGCCGCCGGCCGGCCCATGGCGCTCCCCTCCTCCCGCCCCCCCCTCAGAGCCCCCTCGGACCTTCTCGACTTTCCGGGGCCCCTTGACCAGCTCGTGCCGCTTGGGGATGGTGCCGCCATCGCACCCCATCGCACTTCCGGGTTCTCCTCCCCCTTGCGCACTTCCGGCTCGTATAGATGACGTTGACTGTTGCTTAGCAACCAGCCGGCTGGGGGCGTGGTCATGGGTGTTTCTCGGGTGGGCGAGTCCATCGCGGCGGGGCCGGGGGGGGTGGGGGACGTACCAACTGAGCGCGCGGGGAGGAGGGTCACAGCGCCCCCGCGCGGCCGCGGGAGGAGCTGCGGGCGCCGCTCCCGGCGCTTCCCATTCCCGGCCCTTCCCCATCCCGGCACCGCGGGTTTATCCCTTGTTTTTATGCCCCGTTTTGGGGGATTTAGGGCCGAACGAGGCGCTCCCGAGCCGGGCCGGGCTGGCTGGCAGATGAGGAGGCGCCGTCCCGCCCTCAGCCCCGGGGCGATGACAGGGCACGGACACGGGTGGTGTGAGGGACGAGTTTAATCCAACACGCTGGGGAGGGAAACACTGCGTCTAACTCTGCAAACAGGAATATTTACACGTGTCGGCGTTAAATAAGGGTGTAAAACGCGGCGGGTGCCGAGGGAAGCTGGAGGATGCTGAAGCGGGAGCTGGTTCCCCACAGACAGCTCCGGCTGCCCTCAAAATTCATTGTCCCACGAATAAAAGACACCCGTAACACATCGCCAAGAAAGGCCAGACGTTGAAATTACAGATACAAAAGTTAAAATAAATTAATCAGGGAAGCTCCCAGTCACACAGCTGTAGCCGCGCTCTCCCTGCGCGGTCACGGCATCTTTGTCCTTGGATCTCACACCCAGAAAATTTGGGGATAAGGTTAAAAAGCTGCACAGACCAAGGCAGCCGAACCCCTGGGTGTCTTGCTGGTATTTCAGTAAGGAACAATGTCACCTTTGCAGTCTGCTGGAAGAGCTTTGGAACCCCCTGCACATCTAGTGACTGAAATAAATTCTGTCTCAGTTGGAGAAATGCTCTGAACGGCTTCAGGCTGCGACAGAGGATGACTGAGGTGCTCCCTGCACATTCATCACTCCTCCAAGTCAGTTTTCCTCCGTGCTCAGGTGCCAGCCTGGAGCATTCCCCGTTAATATCTAGGCTATGTATAGTACCAGATTTTGTACCATAATACCTTTGTTGCATTTGTATGTTAAACCCAAAAATTAGCTTTGCAGCTGCCTGGAAAAAAAATACTGTAATTACAAATTTTGAGTAAAATCCTCAGGAAACAATTGATTATAGGCTACAGAACGTTGTGCAGCTAAATTTGAAGAGAGACTGTACATGCCTGAATAGAAAAAATAAAAAAGGAAAAGACATTTATCTGACCTATAGAGAGAATAAAAAATAAGAAATAAGTCAGATAATAAAACCATTTTGCTCTAATACACAGCAAATGTTCCTGCCCAGACACTCTGACATTTCCAGGCAGGATCTGAACAGTGGAGAAGAAAGAATAGATTTAATTCTACAAATCTTCTCCTGCATCTGCTGTTGTCTGGATTTTAACCTGCTCAAATTGCACCAGCACCCCGAGAACTCTGGGCAGGAGTTCTGAAGTGACTGAAAATTGGTGTCACTGAGCCAGTTTCGCTCCCCTTTGGCTGCCAAAGGGGCAACAACAGTGGAGAATGTGTGAAAACGGTGACATTCCATCTCTCATTCCATCATTGCCCTGAACTGCTGCGTGTACTTGGACAGCTCCTCGGTCCGATCCCGAAGTTCCCTCGTGGCGTCCGCGTTGGGATATTTTATGGCAGCGTTTTTGGTGGCCAGAGCCAGGTTCTTCAAGAGGCTGCAGAACCGGCTGCTGCTGTGGAGGACGTCGCTCCGGGCATCCCTCTCCTGAGTCTCGTGGCACAGAGAATCCACCAGCTTCTGCCCCACCATGATGATCAGCTTGCTGTGGGAGATGAACACTTCGGGGGGCTGGTTGTTGTTCAGGCTGTTGGTGAACACCCCGATGGCTTTGTGCAGGGCAGCGAAACACAGCCTGCAGTGCTCGGGCAGAGGGATTTTCTTGGCACAGTCCTGCTTGCTTTGAATTCCAGCCTTTTTGGCAGTTGGCAAAGCCTGGAGAAAGGTTTAAAAAAATATTCATCTCGGTGTCACACACTGATTGTTTCTTTCGTTGCTCCAACCCAGATTCTTAGTTCGTACTCTCCAAACTGCCCCAGCCCAGGAGCTTTTACAATAATTTCTCTTCCCATAAAGTATTGGAAATTCTCCCAATTGCCTTTTTTCTCCTAAATACGATTTGAATAATGGATAGCACACAAAGTGCTGCAGCCAAACACCAATCCTCTACACAGTCTGGACTTGAAGCTTTCAGATAGTACAAGACATTGATCTTTAATGGGCTTAATTTGGGTTATGAATGATTAAAATGGACAAAACAAGAGTCAATTTTGTACCAGTGCATGACAAGATATTTTGAAATACTAATCCTCACAGCCTTATCCCAAATGATGCACAAAGGCAAGAAAATAAATAGTATGACTTTGAACTGGAGAGGTTCATTAGGTTTGAGGAAAATAAATGTTTTTCACAATTTTCAGCAGTAATTCTAAGAATGAGTTCTGGGAAATGAACCATGAGAAGCAAATAGATTATGGATAGAGATGTGTGTCTGAATGCAAATTACTTTGAATTTTGGCAAGCACAGAAATCAGGGACTAGAAGTCCTCATAAATAATAGTTTTCAAAATCAGAAATACCTTTGGTTTTGAATCTGTGCTCTTCTTTGCTACTTCTTTACCTGAAATGATTTTCTGTGCCTGTTATAAATTAAAATGAAAGCAAAGTTGAAATGACTTACGTAAAATATTTAAATATAAATGTGGTTTTCTCTTATTTCACAGGGAAACAACTACTTCTTCTGCAGCTTTCATGGACATGTCATGGACAACAATGGTACATTTATTGGAAGCAACTATAAGTGTTTTCTTATTAAAAATGTAGTGTCTCATCCTGCAAGATATGAGACTGAAAGCAACATCCACAAAATAATTTTTCTTTCCTGAATCCTAAGGACATGCCAGCATTTCTCTGTGAAACCAAGAGAGATATTCTTAGTAGATATTTCAGTAGTTCTAAGGAGAATGGTTCTAACAAACACCCAGAATGATTCTAAACAAATAAATTTGATAATTCACAGTAAGAGTTTGATTTGTTACAGCAAAATTTTCTATGAAAATATGGCTTTCAATAAACCTCGAGTTAGAAAGTAACATTTCTTGTCCAGTCATGTCAGAGCCAAACACAAAGAACTGGCAAGAAGAGAACTAAAAGGCAAAAGAGAAGAAAGGATTTGCAAATCTCCAGCTAAAACCTGTCTCCCAAATGATTTTAAACAGATGATAAAGATGTTTTGTTGGTGCTGGCTGGATAAAATCTCAAACTCCAGTTCTCTTTGTTGATTAAAATGATTCTCCTTCCACATGTGCCACCCAGCACTGTAACAAAATCCTGAATTCCCATAAAGTCTGGAAAACAGGATGCAAGCTGAATCTGGTACTGATGCAAAGGCAAAAATAGTGCCAGTAGCTTAATATCTGCAAACAGTGAGGAATATGGATAGTAAACCCCAGTTTTACTGACCTGTAACTGCACATAATCACAGTCCTCAGTGGCATTTTCCTCCTGTTTCTCCAAAGGCACCCGGCTCTGGCTGGGTTTGTCAGGAACGTTTCTCTGGAGCGACTCTATTTCTATTCTTCTTGGCACTGGGATTTGTTTTGCCATTTTGTACTCTGGGCTCCCTTTCGGCTGCTTTATTTCTTGTTCTCTCTCATTCTTTCTGAAGAGCAGCTTCCCGTTGGCGATGATGATGGACACAAACCTCTTGATGTCGTCGGGAACCGTGCGGGCCACCATGACGAAGCGGTCCAGGTCATCTGGGTTGTTCTGGGGGCTCCTGAGGACCAAGGCCTCGAGTGACCACTTGCAGTTGTTTAGAGCTTCCCTTGTCTCTGTTAAAATTTGGAAGGAGTTCACAAGGATCTCTAACTGCTTTTTAATCCTGGTCTGAATGTTGCTGTCAGTGAGGCGAGAGGCATTTCCCTTTATGGCTTGGGCAAAGGCCAGGAATTCTCCCAGCGACACCTTGATGTGATCCACGGCTCTGTGGATTTCCTCAATGCTCTTCTCCAGGTGCTCCTGCAATCGCCACTTACTGCTCACAAAGATCATTAAACTTGCAACTGAGCTGGACACGCTGTGCTGCAGCCTGGTCAGCGTCTCTATGGCTACTTCAAGGTCCACTTTGATTTCTCTGCCAGGCTCTTCCGATGGTGAGGACGTAGAAAACAACTCAGCAGATGAGCTGGAGGATGTGGAGAGTGTGCTGCTCCTGCTGTCCACACTGGAAACAGATGAGATGTCTCGTCCTAATTTGGCACCTCTGGAGAGCTTTGGAGAAGCACCATGTGCTTGTTCTCCAGAGCTGTCACTGTTGTTTTCCATCTCTTTCTTGGATTGCCCAGGGGTGGGAAAACCTTTTGGAATATCATAAACATTCCCTTCAGAGAGCTGACTCTCAGCCTTTGGAGCCAGGAGAGTCGGGGGTACATCACAGCTACTGCTCTGTGCCAAAAGGAGCGCGTCCCGTGAGGATGGAACGTCATAAAGAGGGATATCTGGAAGTGTTAATTTCCGTTGTGCCGGTGGGATATTGTATAACTGTGGATTTACCACTTTGGCTTCAGCATTTGTCGCTGGCACCTTGTACCTGGCTGGGGGGATATCGTACAGCACCTGGTTCTCCAAGGAGTGGCCAGAAGGGTGCTGTTTTAATCCTGATTTTTCAGGTGATACTGGAACATCATAAATCCATTCTGACTTCCGAGGGTTTGGCAAAGTATTGTAATGGCCCAAGCACTTTTTCAGAGATTTGTTTTCTGAGGCATCAGTTTCTCTTTTGGGAGGGACATCATACAACTGCAACAGAGCACAGAGGGTTTATAAACCAGGAGCACAGAGGGTTTATAGATCACCTTTCTAAACAAGAAGTGAGAAACAAAACTGAATTCTTAGAGCACACAAACGTGTGCAACTCCACTGGTGTCAGTGGAACTGCACCACGAAAGGGCTGGCCCGTGTTTTTTATTTTCCAAAACACACAAGCTGCACATATAAAAGGTAAAATATTTTGAGCACAGGTGATTAGATCATACAGCAGTGTACCCAGCCAGGAACATCTGTAGACACTTGGGTTATTTCCCATTCATGTGCATACTCTGTCAAAAAATGCCCTAGGCATGTGCACTAAGGAGCCTGTCAAAATCCTCTTGGATCCTACAGCCATTCGGGAAACCTGAAATACTCAGCACTCAACTAATGAAAAGTTTCCATTGAGGCATTTTCTTAGTTGTGAAATTTCAGAGTAGCCCTTTCTTCAAGGATGGTGCTTGGCAAACACTGGGGGAGAGATGGGAAACCTGCCCCTCTGCCCAAGCCAGGTGTCACAGCACTGACAGATCATGTCCAACAAATCTTACTTACGTTGCCTGCTGGTGAGTCTTTCTGGATCCCAGCTCCTGCCTTTTCTGGGCTGGATGGGATGTTGTAAAGCTGCTCCTGCTCTGCCTGGAAGTTCTCAGTGGGTCTGACTGGCATGGAGCCCTTCCGTGTGGTGGGTGGAGTGGCACCGCTCTGGGAAAAGGAGAAAAAAACCCTGGGTGACTTTGATCCTTTTTAGAGCCCACTGAAGACTCTGGTGGAATCAAAGGCTTGTGGGAGTAGCTCCTGGTTTGGACAGCATGGGTCACCCTCAGCCTGCAGGGGAGATGCTGGAGCCTTCCTGCAGTGCTGGGTGGGAGTGCGAGGCAGCCACCACTGGCACATCTGGCTTTGGGTCTGAGCAGGAATCACCCACTTACAAAAGGAGCTAACTCCAGGAAATCTGTGGATAACTTGATAATGATGGAATGGGCTCAATCCTGCCCTGCCAGCTGCTGCCAGGATAAAGTGCGTGGGGAGGCTCCATGGACCTGCTCCAGTCCTACCCACACCTTGCGTGGGAGGTGACAGGATGGGGCTGGGCCTGGTGTCTGTCCCATCCTGGTGACCTGAGAGGTCAAGGGAATGTGGACATTCACTCTCCTCAGGGCAGCACAGAGGTACCAAGAGCAGGATGAGGCAACAGCACACTTGGGTGGTGGATGTGACCCACATGTTGCCCTCACCCTGGTCATGTCACACATCCGTGGCGTGTTCTTCCCCACGGTGGGTGGGTGGGGTGGGCGACATTTAGTTTCTTTTTGAACATGCACTTGTGACTCTTCTGAAAACACCCTGAAATCATCCTGATCAAATGACACAGACACAGAGCACATTTCCTTCTGGATTCCAAGGCAGAGAGGGTGACACACTCTGGTGCTGAGAATTCTGTAGGACATCAGTAGTGTCAGTCTCTCTGACTTGGAATCCAGGAGGAAATGCCTTACTAATGGTAAAACTGAAAGTGCTCATTAGAAACATACCAAATTTAGGACCGATTTCTCAGAATTTCTAAGAAACTGAAGAGAGCTGCTTCAGGTTTTAAGCTAAAAATAGATTACTTTCTTCCTAATTTTACAAAAAGCGATCAGGGAGACACTGGAGTTTGCCTCAAAATCTACTCTGCAGTTCTACAGTGTCCATGGCAGGACTCACCCGTGTGAGCAGGGACTCCCGGCGCTGCGTGGAGGGAACGTCGTACACCTCACCCCTGATATTTGGCGTTGACGCCCGGCAGGCTCTCGGGAGAGTAAACAGATGCTTGGAGGGGGAGAAAAACAATAATGAGAAAGCTGCGGTGAGCAGGAAGCTCAGGACATCTTTGGAAACTCTTTTAGCTGGATAGGCCACTGTTGGAGTAATCACTCTTAAGTGATTAAAAACCTTCAGCTCTTCACTGAAGCTGAGGCAGGAACTGAGCTTAGAAGCAGGCATGGCATTCTTCCCCAACAGTTCTCCTTTGCCAGCATTTCTGCTGTATTTCAGGTGAGATAACAACTGGCACATACAAATCAAAGACAATCTATCTGCCTGAGTAACCATGGGAGTGAAAAGATTTGGAGAAAATCCAGCTTCACCTATCACTTCACCAATCTTTAGACTAACCAAAAGCAGAACCACTGAAAAAAAGGAAGTGGGGAAATTTCTGCTTCTCCAGGCTCACAGAGCCATGGGGTCAAGCCATATTTAGTGTAAGAGCAGTAAAAAGGTGCAGGCTGAGCATTATTCTGTAGTTATGAAAGACTGACTCATTTGGAAGGAGTAAACCTTGATGTCCTGTTCATCTCCACGAACAGGGAAGTCTGATATGAGAATTACATTATTGGTCTGTAGTCAAATTCTCCTGTTTGCTTAAAACATAATTTGAGAAGGCATGACCACATCTTTGGGACAATTAGTTAAGGTCCCAAAATATGACTGTTGAATAGGATTTGGGTTTTTTTAATCAATCAATTTTGTTCCTTCAGCCTGTCTTTAGCTTGGCTGTCCTCAGCTAGATGGACCTTTTCAAGCCACTGACCCACAGAAACACCACTGGAGATGAGATGTTACAATAATTATTTGAAATTGGAGGTAGTGATCTCCATGTGAGTGTTGTAGTAAGGTAATTTAGGGGAAATATGGTAGAGGAACTAGACTTCAGCCTTACAACTGCCTGTTTCAGCTTTGTGAAAGCTCTTAGCTCTCATCTGAAGGAAGGAGAGGAGTGAAGATAAATCCCCTTAGTGCTCTATGATACAGAATCACAGAATCACTGAATGGTTTGGGTTGGAAGGGACCTTAAAGGCTGTCCAGTTACACCCCCTGCATGGGCAGGGACACCTTCCACTAGACCAGGCTGCTCCAAGCCCCATCCAGCCTGGCCTTGGACACTTCCAGGGATGGGGCAACCACAGCTTCTCTGGGCAGCCTGTGCCAGGGCCTGAATATGAGCATCTTTACTTCCAAACAGAGGCATAAAAGAGACTTCCCTGAACAGAAAGGGTAAAAGATTAGAGGTATCAAGAAAGCCATCCTTAGCCCAGCTCTGTTTTCAGGTGGACGAATCTCACTATGCAGCAAAAATGAAACTCACTGGATATCACATCCTACTACCTTTTAAAGTCCTTTCAGTGACAGTAAAACACGAAGGTGCTCTGGGCACAGGCTCTGAGGGATTTTGTTTTGGTTTATTGCTTTCAATCACAGTGGCTTTACCCAGCTGCTCAGAGGACAGCTGAGCATGCCAGGAGCTTTGCCAGTTGTCCCAGAGGATCTCTGTGGGGCAGTCCGAGTGTTGCAGTTCGTCCTGGCCTTGCTCAGGCTGCTCTCCCGAGCCTCCCCTGCATCTGGGCATGGCTTGTGACCACCACAGTGCAGTTGGTGTGGGAACAGCTGTGACACTGTGCAAGACACAGCTCAACTCTGAACTTCTAGGTCATAAATGCAGGCTGGGATGTTTCCTTTTCATTTTTGGTTAGAGTAGACAAGGCTTAGGTGTGTAAACTCAGGAAATGAGACAAGAAGAGCCAAGGAGCTCTCCTATTGGACCATTCATTCAGATAACAAATAGATGAACATTTTCCACCTGATTTGCTGGCACAATGTGGAAAATTTGTCCCAATCTTGCATTCAGTTTGCAAATGGCTCCTTTAGGATCAGGAACGTGGAGAAATCGGATCACAGTAAGCGCAAAAGGGTCCTTTGTAACTCTTAGCTTGAGCTTGCAGTTGTGGGAACTGCACACAAGGTCTGCACTGCAGCTGCAGTGCTGAAAATTAGATTTCAATCACCAGGGTTGCATCGAGTGTGTCTGTTTTCCAGCACCCATCTGCCACACAGCAGGAAGCAGCACCTCGGTTTCCATGACTCGCCTCCCAGCACAGTGGGAGGAAAGGTGGCCCCATAAATCAAATGATCATTAAATCAGCATGGAAGACTGTATATCTCAGGGCTCAATTTCCTTCCTTTTCCTTTTTCAATTAGTATTTCTAATGTGATTTTCCTACACAGAATAAATTGCCACCCAGGGCTGAAGAGCTCATGGAACTGAACAAAAACTTGCACTTGAACTCTGTCCTCCCTTGCTCTATTTACCTTTCATTATAAAACATTACCCATTCATTTTTTCTAGAAGAAAGCACAAATTTTTGATCTTAGGACAGCTGATACAACATGTACATGTTCCATGTGCAGATGGATGTAAAGACCCCACATGTGCCCAGGGAACTCTGGATGGCCACATGCTGTGAACAATCAGAGGAGAAAGTTCTGTGTCTTGTTATTTTAACTCTGGGCAAGGTTTGTAAATAATTTATAGATTCTCCCAAACAAATGGTATATTCTTTGCTTCCTGCCCCGTTTTACAGCTGCTTTAAACTGTCAAAAAAATGAGGGACTACAGAATATAGAGACTCTCATATGTTGCCCAGAGCAGCGTTTCACACATAATGCTATAAACTGTAGTAGAATTGATGGGAGTTTCCTAAACACCATCATTCTTTTGCTGCAAATTCCACTGAAAAGCTCAGCCTTTGTTATTTTCCCACTCCCAACGACTGTTTCAATAATAACATCTGTTACTTTCAGAGATGTTTGTCTTACCTGGTGTATGGAGCTTTTGGTCCTCTCGCTGAGCAGCTGTGCAGCCAAGGCTGGCACCTGATATATGGCTTGGGCAGGCGTGGCAGAGAGCCTGGTTGGGGATTTGACCCACCCCTCCATCTTCTCGTAGGTGGACGACACCACGGTGGGTTTGGGGCCGGAGGGAACCTGGTAGATGTTTTGTTGGCCCGCTGGCAGCTCTGTGGGGTCGCTCCGGGTGGAAGGAGGCAGCAGGATGGTGGGAGAGAGCAGCTGGAGCCGGTTGGCAGGGGCCAGGCCCTGCCTGCCATGCAGGGAGCACTTCCACCAGCCCTCACTGCCAAGGACGTGCTGGTCCAGCACGGTCAGGATGTCTCCCTTGCGGAAGGCCAGCTCGTCCGAGCACTCGGCCTTGTTGTCGTACAGCGCCTTGGCCAGGGTGTTCTGGGGACACAGAGAACACCAGCATTGCACTGTTACACCCACAGCAGTGTTCACTGGGATATGGCTTGGTGTTTATCCCCACCTCGATTTCAATTTAGTTCAAGCACAGCTGCTTTCACATCAAACCACCTTTCTCAGAGCACTGGTCTCAGAGGGTTAAACTTCTGCCTGTGCAGACTTTAGTGCAAACTGTAGCCTGTGCCTGCTATGTTCAGTGCACAAAGAAATAGATAATAATAATTAAACACCAAGGTTCAATCCCCTTTCAGTCCTCTGTTCAACCCCCTGCATGGGTCATTCACTTAAGAGTTGGACTTGATGATCCTTGTGTGTCCTTTCCAACTCAGAATATTCAGTGATTCTGTAATACCACTACAATATATTTCTTCAGCACCTTTTCCCCATGAGGCTCTTAAAGAGCACTGCTAATGTTCGTTATTTAGACATATTATATTAGACATATATATATGACACTTATGAGCTAAAACACATCTCAACATGAGGAAGAACTTCTTTCCATGGAGGGTTTGGCAGAGCACTGGAACAGCTGCGCAGGGAGAGTAGAGAGTCTCCCTCTCTGGAGACATTCCAAACCCACCTGGATGTGTTCCTGTGTTATCTGCTCCAGGTGACCCTGCCTGGGCAGGTGATTGGACTGAATGGTCTCCAGAGGTCCCTTCCAACCCTAATGATTCTGTGATTAGTTATGAACATTCCTATATGAAGAAGAGCTGTTTTTCCCATTGTCATTCTGCGAATTCTTCATTTCAACCCCTGCCATGGGCAGGGATACCTTCCACTATCCAGGCTGCTCCAAGCCCTGTCCAGCTTGGTCTTGAACACTTCCAGGGATGGGGCAGCCACAGCTTCTCTGGGCAACCTGTGCCAGGACCTCACCACCCTCACAGGGACGAATTCCTTCCTGACATCTAATCTAACCCTCCTCTCTGTCAGCTGGAAGATGTCAATTAAAAAAATGAAAAGTACTAACAGCAGGTGGCTTTGGTCACCTGAGGTATTTGTGCAAAGGGTAGAGAAAGCTGTGGATGTAGGTTTTTTCAGTACAAGATAGTTTGCTTTCAGCTTTAAAATGGGACTCTGCTTCCCAGGCAGAGGGACACTGGCAGTGTCTCACTGTGAGTTTATCACAAAGTGCAAGTAATGCCCAAAGAGATAGCACCCAAATAGGAGACGTGATGCCTTGTATTTTTGTCCAGAGCATTTGCTGTAAAGCAACAGCTGGCTTGAAGCTGCAGCAGAAGAACCCAAATTTGTCAGCTCAGCTGGTGAGAAGGGCCTGTTGTTGGCTGCACACAATCCATGGTCAGGGTGGACATGAACAATGGCCTGTTTGTGAGCCGTGGGCTCGTCCCTCAGCAGCTGCCAGGGGTGGACAACAGCCCCTTTTACCTCGTGTCCCAGCCTGGTTTTAGCCTTGAACATGGGAATCCCCTTTCTGTTTGGACAATGCCAAGTGTTGCAGTCAGGCCCCCAGGAATCCCACCACAAGCACAGCCTTGGGGCTGGCCTGGGCTTCACACGTTGTTGCATTGTGGGGAAAAAAAAAAAAAAGGAAAACAGCCAGCTTTTCCTATTATTCATCAACACTTCAAGATCCTTGTTGGTGGATGCTGTACAGACACACTGAAGAGCAGACCCTGTTCTTCATCCCTGAGGAGGATGGGCAGAGGAATTCTCTCCCTCTTTTCCAACGTGAAGAGCCTTATCCAGGCACACACAGGAAACGGGTGGCAGGGGCAGGAAGCCTGAACTCGGAAGTGGAGCCTGGCAAAAAGAAGACTGTCCTTCCTAATTGCACCAACACAAACAAGAGGGACATTTGGTTCACTGTGTAGTTTTAAAAGGCATCTAAATGTTGACGTTTCTCCAGCTCTCTTTCCCGTGGCAGCAGCACACTGAAAATGTTGCTGAGCCTAATTCTTTAATCAAACAATGTATGAAACAACACATATATTTTCAAATCTCATTTCTTTTAGAGTGAATATGCATCCAGCCCAGAAATATCAACTCACATCTAGTCTGCTCGTGGTAAGAAATAGTTGCCAAGAAGCCACAGGATGCCATCCCTGTTCCAGTTTGCCTTCCAAAAATACCTCATTTTTTAAGACAGTTCATCACAGCCAATTGATTTTGTGATCACAACAACAGCGGGAGAAATTCTATAGACAACATTTCCAGGAGGTGGGTGCTTCATCTGACTGCACAGATGGCTGAGGTCCACCAAGCCTGTCTCCTGTGATGTGGAGTGAGGTTGTCTGTACTCCAGGCTCTGAATCATCTAATGTTTGCCAGAAATCCAGCCCTATCTACACTCTCAGCTCTCTGGGACATGTGTGAGGGATCACTGTGGCAGCCCCTTCCTATCATAAGCAGAAGCATCTCTGACCTGCCAGTGACTATAAACAAGAACTGCATTCCCAGGGTCCCAGAGACCTTTGGGGATGCTCAGCTCAGAGGAGGCTGTGCTTTGAGGGTAGTGGGATCTGCATTTTTTCCCTGTTAGCCAGAGGAAATTGTCTGTCCAATGTGTCACCCAAAACGTGCCAGCCAGGGCCAGCTGGTTGGAGCTCTTTGGTATTTTATGTGACCTTGTTAATCTGTCCTTACAATAACCAATGTGTAATAAGCACTAAACCAACACAGATGAGATCAAAGTGCTTTTCCTCCTTTGGCATTTGTTGTTTCATCCCCTTCAGCAGCACCGAAAAAACTCTCCTAAGACAAAGAACATCCTAAAAAGCTGCTCTCACCCCACGAGAGAGCACCTTGGCTGTGACTTTTCTCTCACTGAGGAGATTTTAATGAGATGATGGCAGAGCACAGACCTAGCAAACAGAGGCTGTGTCCCCTGCAGCCCCTTCCCGAGGCTTTGTGCCCCCTCCAGAGCCCATGACTGCCCGAGGGCAATGCAAATGTGTCACACACTGAAGGGTTTTACAGTGCCCTGGAAACAGCTTCAGTTGAAAAGTTCCTGTGTAGCTGGAAGTGTTTCTCCTTTGTTTGACTGTGGATCTGATGCTGAGAGACTAAATTCCTCCTGCAAACTGGACTTTTTACACTTTACTGTTTGCATACCCTTATCCAACCATGCACCCCCTATAAAACCTAACAGCCCTTGAGACTCATAGAAGTGAAAGCTGTTAATTCATGTTTATTAATGAAGAGAGGGGAAATTTTAATTAAGAAGCAGTGAAGATGATCAGTGTACAGTTTTATAATATAAAATTCTATACCCTCAAAATGGGAGTACTCACAGACTGACTCTATATACACAACAGGAAAAAACACCCCACTGTTACCAAGATCTCCTGATCCCTCTCCTATCCCAAGCCCAATCCTCAGCCTATAGGACTGTACAACAGAAAAAAATATCCTTATAAAATATATGCAGTGATAATCTGAGCATCTTGCCTGCAAGCCTGACACAATAATTTCTCTATTCCCCCTTCCCACTCAGTTTGTGTTTGGAAGTGTCAACTTCTTACCCCAGATTATTTCACATGATACACAGGTAAGGCACTACTTCACAGCGTTTCAAATAAAACAGTGTTTTTCATTTATTGTCTTAAATTTGCTTCTAGAAAAACCTATTGAAATAATGTAAATAAAGAGATAACTTTAATCATGAGAGGTTTTGCGTGGATCAAGGTAATTATTTCTCAGCTGCATTTTGCAATAAATATATGTGTAAGCACTTTTACTGCAGGAAAACGGGACTTAAAATATTTGAGGAGGAAGAGACACAGCTAAAGGCGTCGGGTTGTGTTTGCTAAACAGTTCTGCTCATGCATCAGTGACACCTCTGACATGTTTACAGAGCGGCTTCCAGTTAATCTCTTCATCTCCCAACAAAGCCGGAGGAATAAACATTCTCCATCGTCCATTAGCTGGGAACAGGCTTCCCAGAGAATTCCCTTCTAAACAGTAGACGACTGCGAGTCATTTCAGCTTTGCCCAGTTAATTGTAGACAGTTCCCATCGTCAACAACCCCAGGAAAAAGGAGAATTTACCTTAAACGATCAGGTCTTTCTCTACATGGAGGTGCCTCCCTGTGGCCATGGGGCTGCACATCCCTCTGATGTGCAGCGTTTCCTGTGACTTGCAGAAGGTCCTTCTACTGTATTTTTTGGGTTTGTTTATGTATTTTGGAAAATAAAAGTTCATGTTATACAGAAGTTTTGTATGAGTTTCAATGAGGAACCCTTGTCAGGACTTGCTTTAGTTGCCTATCCAACTGTTAATTGATTTTGGGAGGGTGGAACCAGGTGCTAACCAGCAGGTTTTAAATTCTCAAACGGTCAAATCAGTTCTTGATAAAGAGCCACTTTAAAAATTCGAGCAGGACCACTTAGAAATCCTGCAGCTTCACCCAAGTCAGTGCTGCACAAGTGGCAAATACAAGCTGGTTCCATTAATTTCCGCCAAACTCTCTTTTCTCCACAAATCTAATTAATCAAATTCTAGCTGTGATAAAATCAATAGAGCTGGAAAGTGCAATCAGGATTTCACACCATTCACAGCATTTTTGCATCTGTGGTCTCATGGCCAACCTCAAGGGAAAATAAGCTGCCATTTCCTGTTGTTTCAAACGCTGACTCTGTGTGTAGTTCTGGGATTTGGGTCCTACTACTATCCAAAGGTTTTTGCCCATATGCACCCAATTAATTTACTTTTTAAAGTATCTTAATTACGTTTTACTACAACATTTATTTCCAAACATGGATTTACAGACACAGAGAGTTCTGATGAGTACAAGTTCTCTCCTGTTCCTCAGAAATAGATGCTGCACAGCCACTCCTTAAAGCAAGGTCATTGCCTTCCTTCTTCTCCCTGCTCAAGGAACACGCAAAAAATTCCTGGGGCAGGTTTTCAGGAGTAAATTGCACGTTTTTCACTGGCAGGGACTGCTGTGTGTTCCTGTCCTGGGTGCACAGGTGTGACAGGATGCTGTCCTTGCATCCCATCTGACCTGTGGTGG